CAAAATTATAAATTTTAAGTACCAACACCAAAACTTATGAAATTCAATGAAATTTTACAAATGAAAATAATTCAATCATTTTCCAAATGACTCCTTTACAGATGAAGTTACTGTAACTATTGAAGTTGACGCAATCATCAATTTTCTCCTTTCAGTAAAATAATTTAATATGCCTTTATAATCTCCACTCGGAAATATTGAAGGGATTTCATCTACTTTGATAGCCTGATTTGTAAAGTTAACAAACTGAAACGAAACTTACAAATTGATTAAAAGTAAGAACATGAATTCTCTATAATTACAGTGTATGGACATTTATGAAGCAATCCAAGAACAGAGGCATTAGCCACTCTGAAATATTCGTACACCATTTTATTTTTTGTTCCTTCCTCCATTATTTTACAAAAGTTGATATTATCAAAATGCATAACTTCTCGATAAATATTTCCATATTTATACAGCAGTTTGCCATCAATCTTAAGAAAATTTTAAAGAATAAATTTATGTTTTGTTTCTATCTTAGTTCAATTTCATTACAAATATTTGGTAAATTGGTTTCTTGAATGTAAGAATCACATTTTCACTAGAAAATGATCGATTATGTGATTTCGCATAGCAAGAATAATTTGGAAACACAAACTCATCCGAAACATTGCAAATTAAACTTCGAATATAAAACTGCTGCTCATCTTTTGATAAGATGAATTTGAATAAAATCAATGACGCTAAAATCTTTAAATATATTTTTGAAACCGACATGTTACTCTTTTTCAACTGAAATAACAATTGAACATTGTAACAACTCATCAAACTTATAAGCGGACACAAACCTCACATATAAATGGCATAGTCTACTTATTTAGATACAGTGGCACTTTGATAGACAGATACCTGAATAAACAAATAATCTCGATATACAAATATTTTTTTGTCTCCCTTGAGCCATTTGTTTATCAAATTCTCACTGTAATAAGCAATGGATTATAAAAGGATGATTATCAGATAACTAATTACAGCTTAATAGTAGACTATTAGAACGTTCAAGTGAATTACATTTATATTTTTTTATTCCACATGTTGAAAGAAATTTGAAAATATAAAAAAGGCGTTTCAATGATGTAGAACGCAGAAGATTTTTTGCGTAACTGACGCTTGTTATCATTTTTTTAAAATGAGATAATATATTAAAAATTTTTGCGGTCAAATTGGTCGCTTTAAGCTAAATTTACAAGTACATTTCACTTATTACGCAAAATTTAAGGTAGTTTTTGAAACTTTACTTATCTAACATCAATCATCAAATGACGGGATATAGGGAGCGAAACAAGAAGGGGTGTCATACTCCTATATTCTTAATCGCTTTAGTGCACTGGTTAGTGCACTCCCTACTCTGATGATGATGATGATATATTTAAAATAATCCTGAATTGTCTCTTCAAACTTCTAAAAATACTCAAATATAAATAAAATTACATGCAACATTTGATATTTAGGATATCAAACTAATATTTTTCCAAGTTAAAAGATTCAAATTTATCAGAATTTTGTTAAAATTCTTAAATTTTTTCAATTCAATTCACTTCATTAAATTGAAGATTGTAAAACATTTATTTTAGAAAAAAAAATTATCAAGTCACTTTATATGTTGAAACTGCTTTTTCAATCCGCTTTTTCCTTTCTTTGCTGAAGCTTACAACAGTTTTATAATCACCATTAGCAAATATTTTTGCAACGAGAGTCAACTTCCTGGTACTAGGATTAGTCATGTTTAAAACCTGAATAATAAAAAAACTAATAATAATAATAATAACAA